TAACAATTTACGTCATAATATAATTAATTGTAGCACCTGAAATGAAGAAACTGAACGGAAAGCAACGTTACAAAGGTAATTAATCAAGCGTGGCTTATAAAACACAAAATTAGAGGAACTTGACAAAACACTGCACCTTCCAAATTTGACTTTTCAATACATGTGTATTTGTATCATGATAATTTACCTGTAATAAGCTAGATTATTATGATAATTGATTGCGTCGCCTCAAGAAAAAGTTAAACAAAGTTAACTTGACAATTTATAAATAAAACATGCATATAACGTGAAGCATTAAAAAATGACTTCAGTTACTTCACATGTTTTCTTCTTTTTTTAATTAAGGATGGATTTATAAAATAATTGTTTCTCAATCCAAGACTTTCCCCCTTAACTTGGGCCACTGTATATGATGAAAGGCGATGAAGAAATAAGGGGTAGTGTTATGCATTAGTATTATAGTCTTTTCCTACTATTTATAAAGAGAGAGAAAGCATTTTACTTAGTATTTGTAAGCACGTGATTATGTTTTATATGAATATTTATTAAATTTTAAGAAAAGCTAACGACATTTAAGATTTTTTTCTGTTTTAATAAAATATATTAAAAGTACTTTATAAATAATATTAAAAGAGAGAGTGACATTATAATACTCCCCTTTGTATTTTCAGCTCCATCGACGGCCCAAAAAAAAAAAGTTTTATTTTCCCGACTCTTAATGGTTTACTCTGACAGTATTGACATTTGATGCATTTTTATTGCTATTAGTCGTCCATTAGCATGCGCTGCACACACACACACACACACACACACACACACATCTTCCTTGAAAATAGCTTTATGTTTAAAAATATGAAAATTACTTATGGGTCAAGTAAAGAAATTAACTATACATAGGTTTTCTGGATTTTATTTAATATACATAGGTTTCAATTCCAAAAGGATTTAATATTTACAAGTCAAATATCTACATTTCGAATTTGAATTGCGCCATTCATAGGTAAAATTTATAAACATTAAATCCATCAAAACCTATTAGTTAGTATTAAATAAAATTTGAGAAAGATATTTATATTTATTTTTTTTTCGTGGAACCTATCGGTATTTTTTCCCTCAAAGAATCGGCAATTCGACCTTGCTGACTTTGATTTTTTACCTTGTTTATTTTTTCCCTACAAGTTGCATAATCCATCCATACAATTAATGTGAATATCATCATTGAAGGATTTGGTTCATTCTCTCCGCTTTCCTTTTCCTTCACTTACATCAACTTCTCATCTCCACAATTTTACTAATAATTCTATAAATTATGAAATTTGAACCGTTCATATTTCAATATAACAGTTAAGGCAGAGAAAGTGTGGATGGAAGTGGAAGGGAATACAAACCCTCGACTACAACAAATAAGTAAGAATTCACCCTACCAAAAGAAGATCTCGTGTAATGTAATTAATATGAGTATAACTTTTTCTAGAATAGTTTACCTCTAATCTAGCCCTTCCTCATGGGAAAGAGTCAAGAAAGAGACAAACACCCACACACGACACGCCCACTTGGAGTTTGATCTCACAAACTCTCCCACTTAAAAGAGTGAATGCTAATTAAGACAAAGCTCTTGACAATATGTATGAAAGTAGAATTTAACCTACTAAGAGTATAAAAGCCGCAGTTGAGAGAAGGGGTGTGTCATATATTGAACGTTGAGGCTGAGAGATAACCATGAGCTCTCCTAGACGTAAAAGAGCACGTGATGACACAGAGAATAATGGAGGAAACGGGGGCGATGATGAATGTCGCGATATAGTGGATAAAATGCTCAATAAGCATAAAAAGAGAGTGAAGAGAGCTGCGAAAGATTCACCATCTAACACTAATTCCGTTCATAACGGACCATCTCCATCAACCGTTAACAGCAGACCCCCTTCTTCTAGCAGGCCCGGGGCTCAAGCTGCAACAAGAAGATTATTGTCTTACCCAGATGGTGAGTTCCGAGTTTGCAGTCCTCGTCTCCCCTAATTTCTGCAATATACATACATACATATATATATATATATATATATATATAAACCTCTGTTTTCCTGTCTCACTGGAAAGGAGACGGAACTGATGAATCGGGGGCGCTAGAAACTGTAGCAGTCTCCCAGACAAATGGGGCTCATGGAGAAAGTATGGTAGTGAAGCGGCTGAAAGATTTGTGCAGTATTAAGGAGCTGATGGTGAACGTGGGGATTTGAGATGGTTGGTGCGGCCTATCTTTTGAAGCTGATGAGACCCTTATCATCATGTGATCATGATGCGATTGAGGTCGCCATGAAACAGGCTGCGGAGGCCGCACAGGTGTTGTTCATGCAGAGCATCTCCGCAACAATGGAGTGCAGCTACTCTTTAAGAGCCAAAAATCGTTTGACAAAGTTCTGTGATTAATTTGCAATTCGCTGGTAGATGATAAGCTTAAGTTTTAGGCAGCATAATATCAAGTCACATATCAAACTTCATTTTCAATAATGCTCTTGTGGTAGTTTTATTTTTCCTTTTGTTCGTCGAGCTGCGGGCATGTAAGAAGTTTCTCGCTTCTTCTGTGCGAATGAGAGGGATCTACTTGGTCAATCATACAGAAACGCTGTTGTTTATAATGGATTCGATGTGTGTAATACTGTGATAGGGATCGTGACTCTATTGCAAATTCGTAGCATATATATCGATCCAGCTTCTTCTCGTGGCCAGCACGGCGAATGAAACATGCGCATAATATATCTGATTAATTAAAATTTAGAGCTTCCTTTTCTCAATCTTGGGAGAAATTATTAGGAGACACGAGGGCTGCAAAAGAAAAATATACTACCTTCAATTAGTTCACTAATTTGAAGAGATTAATAAAATTATTAAATTATTTTAAAGTATTTATATTTATTATTTTTTTAAACTAATTTTTTTTACTTATAAATTAGTATATCATCTAATAATATATGTAAGTATTTTAGAGAATCAAATAAATTTTTTTATTAAATACAGGAGGTACTATAATCTGATTTTCTTTTCGGGGTTTTCCCGAATGGTTGACCAGCTCCTATCTTTTTTTGACCCATAACCGATTGCTGATTGATTGGACCAATTGAACCGACTGTTTTATCCGATCCGACCGCTTCAATATGTGTATGCGTCCCCTCGTACGCTAGTTCAAAGGGCAAACATGGCTTTGGCCATCATGGGATCGTTTTGCCCTAATTACATTGCTCTGATCTTTTTTTACCAAAATATTATTCTGATCTCTATAATAAGCTAATTATAACTTATTTTGCATATTAAAGAATGTATTAAATCCATAAAATTTTTTTGAAGTTACAATTATTTAAATTTTTTTCCTCTACGTTTATAAATCATACTCACATTTTTTTCTTTTTAACGAAAATTAAATGAAGGTAAACTTTAAAAAAGTCATTAAATACCACATAAGTGGCTTATATTTAGAACTAAATAAATCTAAATCTTATTTTTAATTGAGAATACTTTATACTATTTAGGACAGGAGATAATAATAAACAAAGACTAATGAGATGCGGACCTTACGGAGGTGATTTTACATGGATGACGCACGTTTGAAATGGAATGAAATAGTAAAAGTCTGCTTTTCTCTGGATTGAACATCTGAAAGACAGGATAAGACCCAGTGCATTCGGGGAGTTGGTGGATAAAGCACTTGGGAATGGAAGTCCAGGAGCAGATTCATATATGAGTTGCTTGATGAATCATTAATTAACTTTTTTTTTCCGAATGTTATCCCTATTACAATTTATTTTCAATAATCTTATATAAAGACAAAATTACAAAAAAAAAAGAAGTTTATTTCCAAACAAAAGCAATGAGTCAGCCATCTTATCTTATTCGTGGATGTGGCTTATAATAATGAGGATGAGGATTATAATGTCATGTTCATTAGGGGTGGATATTTAAAATGGAGAATCCCATAAAAAAAAGCTTGAAATTACTAAATATCCCAAATCAGGTTTTGTAACAACACCTCAATAAGATTTGATAATACTAAAATTATAAATAACAACACATTTTTATAAAAATTTCTTATTTAAATTAATATTTAATAATTTCAAACTTCTTTGTGTCTGATTCTCTCAATTTAAAAGTGAAAGACATGAATGCATAAAAATGTCACCAACAAATTGTTAGTTTGTTCTTGTCATCACAATTATACCCAGTGAATTATCATTGGAGGGGCTAATATCCATGTGATAAAATCTAATAGGCGGACATAAAGAAAGCAATAAATATTTAGAATAATGAGGACAGTACCTTTGCAAGTTGCAACCCAATGTGACAGCATTAATGTTATTAGAATTTGCCTTAGAATTAATGAAAACCAGAATAATTTGCCTTTGCACATTGTTATTTTTAAATTTCTAAAACATAAAATATACTCCATGGCAAAATACGATTTTTACCATGGCCTTTCCCCATCGGTCTGATCAAATCGCTTCTAAGTTGCATCCACCTATTGTGAAGGAAAAACTAAATCCAAAATTTATTCATCCACCTAAAAACCTTGCACTGAGATTAGCAATTGAGATTAATAGTTCTCACGGTTTTCCGGCAAAATTCTTTCACTGAGACGTCCGGACAAGTTCATTATATTCCATCAGCAAAAACATTTTCCCCCCCAAAGTTCGGTTCACTTTTGCTTTGACTAATTAACATTTGAATTAGCAAGGCGGCATGATGTTACAAGTTTCACGTTGCAGAGTTTTACAAATAAAGTGGAGTTTATAAGTTTACAAACTCTTCCCATTACACGAATATTCATAACATTGATACTTTTAACTAAAGATCCATTATACTTCTGAAGTGATAGTGATAGAGGTGAATTTGAATATATTACATCACTGACTTGGCTAACTAAAACAAAGGGAACACGGGTATTTAGACGTAGTTTTTATTCAACACTAGCATCCAAGTGAACATAATGAATTCCCTACATGCTCATCTGAATCTCACTGGCCACGTGCAGCGTAAACGACCAGCATAGCAGTGAGAATAAGCAGAATTGTACCGGAAACAACTCCGACGATCTTCCATGGATTCTCTGAATAGTAGCGTACGAAATCGGGAAGCCAGACTTTTAATCCGTGGCGAAGCCATTCCAGAAAACGCCGCCAATAATGCCACGGCATTCTGAACATGAGCGCACAACGTCCTGCCACTCCCTTCACCGTCTGTTCGTTCAATCTCGCGCATAATTCTCCGTATCTGGAATCCGTTCGTTCCTCCCCGGTTATGATGCTTTGGAACATAATAAGCAAATCCTCGTCCTTCGCCGCCTTAGGCACTATCACTCCTCTGTCTTTAAGCAGTTTGATGTCATGAACAGAACGGACCAAACCTTTGAAAAAATAAGCGTAGGAGGTGAATTTGTAGCCGATTCCACTCAGCCCGATTTGCTCCCAAGCAATCAAATTCCTCCATTTTACTTCTGTTGCTTCTTTTATGTGCAGCGTCGGGATGATAAGCTCTTGCTCACTCTCATTAAATTCTATTTTGAATTCGAGCTTGTCCACAAATTTCCTCAGCACAGAAGCCACAGTTCTTGGGTCGTCATTGCCTGCAGTGTTGCAAATTTGGTGAGTGGCTGGCTCGCTTTTAAAGATGAATTACTATAATTCACTGATAACTCGAATAGTTAAATTACTTTAACAACATGTTACCCTGAGAATCGTTAGTTTGTGATGCGGTAATTGTGATCCCAAAAGCTTGGAGCTTTCTAGCGCAGCGCTGCAGTTTTGGTGGATCTTCGCTGGGTTCCTCTTTTCCATAGGGATCAAGGGAGCACAAGTGGATAAGATGAAGGAAATGATAAACACCTTTTTTGGAGGAGCCAGCTGCCCTGTCATTGTTGTATTTAAGGAGCGACGCGGCAATTTCTTCCTGAAAATTTTGTTTGACCTTATCGGCAACGGTGGCGAAGTTGCATGTAAGGAGCGACTTGACAATTTCTTCCCAACAAAATTGTTTGACCTCATCGGTACCTTGGCGAGAAAGTGCATGTGGTGTGGCAAGTTGCTGAACCGCCTCCTGAACTGAAAGTTTTGAGGACAAAGTTGTGAGAACGACGAAAGGGATTTGGTTCTCCAGCAGCGTGAGATCTGCGAGAAGACGCAACAACTTTTCCTTGTTATCCATGGAAGGATCATCAGTCTTCTTCTCTTTGAGCTTCAGCAGAAGCTCTAAGAGAAAGCAGCCATCAAGTAACATGATTCTGGAAAGCTCCTCTGCTCCCATGTCTATTTTCTCCCCATAGCTCGCTCGAATTATAGGCTCTATCGTTTTCAGGGCCTCACTGCAGATTTTAACGGACGTTGCATTGCTCTGATGGTCTATACGGGCAAGGAGATCATGCATGTACTGCCATTTGGTCCGTTCCATGATTTGCAGGTCGCTTCTGGTGCCCCTGTGAAAGGGTCCCATGGCCACAAGCTGAGGCGTGTACCTGTACTCTTTGTCTTCGCCTCCTCGAATTTCGCCTGGAACCCTGCAAATGCTGCCTGTCTTTGCTTTCTCGAGCTCTACGCATCCCAGCGTCAGTTGGATTCCAGCAATCCATTCTTCGGTTTGCTCTCCTTCCTCTTTCTTTGAAGCTTGATCTTGATCATCATTAGATGCAAACAACGTTATTAAGTTAATTAGTGAAAGAAAATTTTCAAAATAAAATAGAAAGAATGACATAGCGGGAGATTAATTACAACCAGCCATTCGTCACCTCCTTGATTCCCTGCTCCGCCAAAGTGGCCGGATCTGCCCTTGTGAGCCTCATATCGCCCTTATTTATAATCACACTTGGACTCGCACCCCGCCGGATAGAAAAGAAAAAGTGAAAAAAATAAAAACAAAAACAATACTGATAAAATAAAAAAGCGGCATGGAATAATGTGGAAAATTTATGACTTAGTTATGGACAATGGAAATTGTGTAATACTTGAGTACAACAAAATAATATATTGTTGGTGCCAATATTTCTCTCAAGTGTAGAACGAGAAGATAAACACTGGGCACATCCTCTTCACAACTGTGGCAGAACTTTTTTTTTTTTCCGAGCTTAATTTGCCTTTGGATGACAACAACTCTTATAAAATCATAATTTGACTTTTATATTTAATTTTATATTTTTATTCAATATTAAAATAATATTTTTATAGGATATTAGATTAATGATGGAAAAAAAAAACAGAGTAAAGTGGATGGTAAGGGAAGTGAAAGAATGGAGACTGGAGAAGTTCCCTTCCCTCCGAATGCACTCAAAACAAAGACAATATGTTTTTATGTTATTTTTTAGCGGAGTAATGATAAGGGGTATTGTGGTGAATAAAATAAGAAATTTTAAATTTCCTATTAAAATTAAAACTCACAATATCTAATAATTTACCAAAGAGTGTGAGATATTGAGTTATAAACCTGGTTCATTCCTGTGAACTATAGCATAAGCCAAATGCAAGGAGGGCTATGATGTAAATAAAAAAGAATTGGGTCCAGAAACAGAATTTTTTCCTCATGATTTAAAAGTTTAAAGGGTTGATATAATTTTTAGTCTCTCAAATTTGCCTTCATTTTGGTTTTGGTCCCTCAAGTTTCAAATAATAGATTTTGGCCCGTTTAGGGGCAAAATAGTCCAAATTTTTATTAGATTACAGGGATCAATATTTTAAATAAAAAAAATTTTAAAGAACCAAAATATATGATTTAAAATTTAAGGGGCTAAGGTCAAAATTTGTATTAACCCAAGTTTAAATCTATATAATCAGAGTACGTGAGTAGTTGGATATGAGTTCAAGATAAAGTTGTTCATGTGTGTGCAGGATGCTCTCTCGACTCTCGCTCTCGCCCTGGCCCTCAAAGTTCTCTTCTTTCTCTTTGGTTGCGGTGTTGCGTGATGGAAGCCCAAATCGATACTCCAGTCCCGTGTGGGCAAGACAATGCCAATCACATCCAGGTACGCCCGAAATGCTAACTCATTTGAGATTGAGAGCTGACTATGAGCTGTTCTAAAAGTGAAAATGACAATCAGGTCATGGCAAGGGTGCGACGTGTGGGGACTTAGCGACTGAACTACTCGACCGCAGCAGAGGTGGGAAAGGCTCACCAGCTAATGCACCATCTCCATCACCCGCTCTAGAAAGTATAGCAGTGAAGCGGCTGAAAGCTTTGTGCAGTATTAAGGAGCCGACGGTGAACGACGGAATAGATATGGTCGGCGCGGCGAATCTTTTGAAGTGTACGATGAAATACCCATCTCGTCCTGAGGAGATTCAGCGCACCAAGGAACAGGCTGAGAAGGCCGCAATGGTGTTATATGATGCGGAGAGCCTTCGCAACGAGGGAGTGCAACTCCTCTCTGAGAGCCAAAAGTTGTTTGAGAAACTACTCTAATTTGCTGCGGCTCCCATATAGATGATAATTAAGCTTAGGTTTTAGGCGATCGCTACGCCAAGTTATCAAAGTGTTGCAATAAGGCTCTAGCCACCTGTAGTTTTATTTATTTTTAATTTCCTTTTGTTCTATCTTCTGGTGTGTATGTGTAAGGAGTTTCTCGCTTCTGCTATGAGAATAAGAGGGCTCTATTGGGTAACCATAGAGAATGAAACCCTGTTGTATATCTACATGCGTATGTTGATTTGATCAAGCTAGCTAATTGATTTATGAGGTTGCCGAGTTTGCTGATCTGATTTAATTCGTCACTCCCCTTCTCCAAAATCAAAATTGCTTCCAGTTGGGATTTTTCTCTTTCCCTCCCTTTCCTTCTTTCAAAATATATTCTTAATTGGTACCAAGTGCGAGCTTTGATTTGCGAGGTGTTGCCTTTTTTATTAAGCTTATACTCTCTCTCTCTCTGATCCCTTACATAGTGTTCTTTTAGAAAGAATTAACGGTGATGAACACCATTATTCTCATATTGTGAATTAGTGAAGCAGAGTCCCCCCCCCCCGACACAACAGACGGCACGGAGCCGCGAAAGTAAATCCATGTTCAAAATTGAAAAAAAGAACTATTAAAAAGGCAATTTCAATCCTTTCATATTTATTCTGATCAACTTAATTAAAATAGGAGGATAGAAAATTATAAAGAAGATAATAGTTGAGAAGTGAGCTTGGTAATTTTTTCTGGGTCATTAAGCCTGTTTATGTTTTTTCAATATGCATTTGGATGCGTCAAGTTTTAGTTAGTAAAAAAAATTGAAAACAAACTTTCAGACACATTGGGTAAGTTTTAAATTATGGGAGAAAGACGTATAACAACCACATAAATATAGATGTAAAGTCATATAAGGCTTTTCTAAATTTTCCGACGTAAAATGTTTTTTTATGAGTAAATATTATTCAATTCCAAGTTTACATGATTTATTTTTTTAAAAAAATATTTTTAATTATAAAGGAATATTTCAGTCTTTTAATAACATTGAAAAATTTCTAAGTAGATCTTTTGGCCTGATTAAGAATATGTTAAAAATGTAAATTTTAATTAAAATTCTAGTGCTTCAGCTAGATTTAATTAGCGTTCTCTCTTAAATTTTTGTAGGTTCCGTAAATTAAGACGCACAATAACACGATAACTTGGCCCCAAGCTCGGCATATTAATACCCCCCTTCCCATATTAATATATTATAAGCAACATTAGAACTCATCACGTAGATCAAAATGTTAGTTAAAATTAGTTAAAGACAATAATTATGTAAAAATTAGAAGTTCTTTTATACTAAAATACCCTTATTTATGAGGAAGAGAGAGAATAAGAAAATTATTATAATAAAAAGAATTATAGAAGAGAGAGAATGTGTGATGGAGAGATGATGGCTTGAGAAATGAGATAATAAATATATCAAGTATTAAAATAAGTAATTAATAGGGGTAAAATAAAAAATTTGTTGCACAAATTTAAGACAGCTTGCAAATGTTGTTTATATTTAGCGACAAGAGCGAGATGGAAGTTGTTGCTTATGATATGGGACGGAGGAGTAGCAGCTGTCCTCTTCCATAGGCCGTAGCGATGGGGGTCTCCTCAATCTTCATTGGATATAGGATTCATAGGTATTGTCCTCTTTATATCCTCCTATTAGATTTTAACACAGGGTTATCAGGCCTATCACCAATACGCATCGACTGTGAAGGGTGATAGAAAGAAAAAAAAAAACCAGCTACTTGTCAGTGATATTTCAACGCATTCACATCTTTCACTTTTAAATATCAGCCCGTCACAGGTAGAAACGATACTACGGGTCGAACCCACCAACCTGTAAAAAAAAACAGGTTAGGGTTGGTCAAAAGTCAACTGTCACCACCTCAGAAATATGAGCCTGCACCGTTATAGTCCAAACTTGGGTGGGTTAACACGCAAGTTGGCGGGTTCAACCAGCCTTTTTTTTTTTTTTTGAACATTGAAATATTATGGGAGGTGGAAATGTGGAATGACTGAAGCCCTTCCCTATCTCAGATTCTCATATCTCCCAAAGTCCCAAGTCATGACTCACAATTTCGCCATTCCCATTTCCTCCCTCACTCGGTCACTCCCTCAGTCTTTAGACCTCAGATTATGTTTGAACTTGTGCTTATCATATTTGGAGTTTGGACTTTGGACAACCGTATATTTTATTTGTGTTTTAATGTGTTATAATTTTATTTGAATGTTTGAAAATTTCTTTTTTTATTTTTTATTATTTATAACTTTGTGCTAACATATAAAAAAAAAAAGAAGGGAAAAAATATAAATTATGACAGGTTAGTAGGTTGGCTCGCCAACCTATCTTGGTGGGTTAGGGTTAGCAAAATGCCAACCAACTAGAAAACAGATCTTTTGAGCCCACACCGTGTAATCCGCGGCCCGTTTTACTAGCCCGAGTCACAGGCATGACATATATGGGAAATTTGTCAAAAATTCCTAATTAAAAAAATTAATTTTATCGGAAGACATTTATATATAACTCAAAAGCGCTTGCATCCTTTGAAGATAAAAAAACCTGGGTCCCTAATTAAATATTGTTAGGCAATTAAATTTTCTAATAAAAAACTTTCGACTAATTTTCACAAAAGAATTATGCAAGTACGCCCCACATTTCATGCTACTGCACTTACATCTTCTCAATGTAAACGCGTGGGATAATTGCGGACAATTAAACTCAGTTTACAAGGCCGCACAACAAATCAGCTGCATGTTACAATCATAATCATAATTTCCTAACAACATTCATTGATTCAGGTCCGAAAAAAAAACAACATTCATTGATTGCAGTCTTAATAGCTGGACCCGTCTCCCCTGTTATGAACAGCCACTTTCAATCCATCCTTACTCTTCACTCCCAATATAAGTACAAGACAGGTCATTTCAGTCAGAACAGCATATAACTACAAGACAGGGTCATTTTAGTCAAGACAGGACAAAATAAACCCCTTCCCTCCAAATCCCCCAATCTTGTGGGGTCAGGGTTAGAAGGGGAGGGAAAATGAGACGTGATGCAGAGTTGATCTCAAAAAGTTGGTACGAGGAGAAATCAACTTCAACTGCTACTTCATATAAAAGGGACAAAACAAAGCAAATGGCCAGGCCAGTGCCACCTTCATATAAGGGCCTACTCCATCATCAATCATATCCGCCCCCCACACAACAAGACTGTGCTTTTGTTTTTGAAGTATTTTTAACGGCAACCAACCTTTCTCCCGTACTCTTTTATAGTTCATTATTACCTTCATGAGTGGCAGCGAAGTGCTT